ACTTGCTTGACTTGAGGGAGACCATACTACAGGTAGGTGCCTACAGCCTCCCCGAACACCAAAAACATGAGGACAATGAAACACGCTGTGTTTCAGTGTGCTGCAGATGGAAGGTCCCTGGGAAACTCTAGGGCATTGTGACTAGGCAAGATCTTTGCCCAAGAGGACAGTGACCAAGCCAAATTCTTAGCCCAGTAAGTTAGTAAGTTCAGAATCAGAATGTAGGGATAAGAATGGTATGATTCAATATGACAGCTACTAGTCACATAGTAAGCTCTGAACGTATAGCTGGTCCCAATTGGGATATGTAATAAATGTGTGCAGTACACCTCAGGTGACAGCGATTTAGGCTGAGAAGAAGGATGTAAAATATCTCACTGATAATTCCTATATCTTTATACAAGTCAGTGTAATTACATTTGGGGCATATTGAGCTAGACAAAGTGTTATAATAATTAACTTTAAATCTCCTTTTTAATGTGACCATAACTAGGAAATTTTAAATAGTATGTATAGCCCACATTAGTGGTTTACATATTTATGTTGTCTAATGTTGGTCTAGAACATTCCAGGGCTCAGATGGGGCCTGAAGGAACATCTCCCCCTGCCACAAGATGCACTTTGGCACTTGGATCTGCTCCATTCATTTTCCATCCTCAGGACAGTGCTGAAGAGAGATGACCACACTTGTCCCTCTCATGTCGTTTTCATATGTCTAGTCTTACCTTCCTTCAGTATCCCATATCTTTATAAAACCATTAGTACTACCAACTTTGCTCCTTTGGTTCAGTCTTTAATGACCCAAGAGATTTTGTCTCCTATGGTACATTTTGAGTTACCGGTCAGTTATACCATCTTGGTGGCCATTAGCCATTTAAGCTACACATGCTTCCCATCCACTACCTTCACATGGGACTGAGTTTATCATACCTGGTTATACCCCAGTCAATTTTATAGACTTCCCAGAAAGAAGCAATAATAGCCTGTGAATACCCCTTTGACTCTGGACCTCAGTGGATTGAAGTTTGAACCATTTAGGAGCCAGGCCTTCGGGTAGGCAAGATTGGAACTCTACCAGTCCTCTCCAGAAGCTAGCTCTGAGTCTAGAATCCATTTGCTCATTAGGGAGACATTCAACAAATGAATGATGAATGGTGAATAAATGTGTCACTTCATCAGTGGACTCACCAAGTAGAGATATAGTTTCCTCCTTTACGTCAGCTTCAGAGATTAACATTCTTCAAAAACCAAATTTACATTCATGATCCCCAATCAGTCTCCTTACATTTCGTGCCTTTAGACACAGTGGACATCTTTGTTGATCCTTTCTTACTGCTTAGCTGACTAACAAGTATTATCTGCACTATATAAAGTAACAAATCTTATTTGTTTATGCTATTACCTCCCAAGCCCTGGAGTGGCCTTTCTACTATGACTGGAACATAAGCACTGGCCAATAGCCGTCTCCCCCATTTTGACTTTCCTTTTTCTGTTCTTGGCTGGGGCTGTCATTCCAGAGCTGTTGTTGAGCTCCAAACATCTGAGCTGTCTTTCTGTCTTACAAAGAGTGGGCTGAGTGGGATCGCCTATGCTCAGGTAAACTGGTCAGGATGATGGCTGTGAGACCCTAATGGGATGCTGGTTAACATTTTGTTGGCTGTCCTAGAATGCTGGAGGTAGACAATGATCTTCTGAAGTCCCTTTCCTTGATCATGCCTCTTACCATGATCATGTGCAGTAGGGTTGGTAGAATGTAGTTTTCATTTACTCAGTAACTACTTACAGAGCTATCTGGAATGCAATAGGGGTGACCTCTGCTCTTGAGACTCACAACTGCAGGGCTGTGAGAGGGATAATGCCTCCCTCACTCTCATTCCCAAAGAAAGCAGAGCCTCTTTCTGTAGTTCGTCCCCATTGCTGAGCTTTATGTTATCCCCAAAAGCTTGGAATCAGCCTCAAAATTTCCTGCTCCCTCCTCTAGACCATGCATTAGAAACGAGACTACTGTTGGCAATACTTGTGCTTTGGGAGTTCTCAGTTCTACTTAACCACACAGAAATACATCCTTTCCTATCTTTAAGTCAGTTCTGTTCCTTTGGTCAGACTGCCTGAGGTCCCATGGAGACTCATTATTTTTAAATACCTTTTCATGTGGAACCTTGTCAAAGGCTTTTGGAAAAGCTAAATAGCTAAGAGGCAAGCACTGAGCCAGCAATCAGGAGAGACCTAGGTTCTAATCTAGCCTGACATTGGTTTACCATTGAACTTTGGGCAAGGTTCAGTATAATCCCCATTTCAGTTTCTTCATTAGTAAAATGAGAATTATTGTGCTGACAGGCAACATCATAAAAATTTTACCACCATCAGATGAGACAGTGTTATTTAAGAATACTTCACAAGGTATAAAACAAAACTATAAAGGCTCATTACTTTGAAAATTTATAACCTCATCTTCGTTCATATGCATATCTCTCCCTAAAGAACAGAGGATAAAGACATGATTCCTCCACTACCTCAGCATCATGTTTGTTCATCATCAACTACTTTGACTTCTTGACAAGATGCAGATTTGTAGAAGTAATAGGACTGGCTATGGTATGGGGCTTTGAGGCTCACTGTGAGGGCTTGGTGTAGTGTGTAAACTCACAGAAGCAAGGACACTGAATTGGTCAGGCCTAGGTTAGCTCCACATCCATGTTCATTGAATATGTGACCTTGGACAAGTTATCTAACCTCTTATGCCTCACCTGCAGACTCCAGGATGATATTAATGCTGGTGGTAGAGTTATGAGGTACAAATGCCCAAAGCATTATCTATTTCATAAAGAACAATTATTATTTGTCTGGAGAGAGTCCAGAGAAATGGAAGCTAGTCCATTCTACCTATATTTTAGGATTATTCACCAAATAGTTATCAACTTTCACAATAAACTCCTTTACCCATGTCTTATGTGAGGTTCTCTTGAGAGATAGATACATGAGTGCCTATCTTTCTGTATTATGTAAAGCTATAGTTTAGGTTGGGATGGGAGAAGGAGAAGAAAAGGAGAAGGCTTCCCGGTTGCCTTCCCACTCAGGCAGAGTGTGGAAGATAGGAACAAACAAGGCCAGGCCCATGAAAATTTGCCATATTGGTGTTTCCAGGTCCCTTGCTTATTTCCTCTGATGTCCAACTACATCTAGCCTATCATATCCTAATGAGTAGAAAAGTTAGAGCCAGAATGATAAAGAAGACTGAATTTAATTTCTACTGGGGATCAGACTAAGAGCGCTGGATGGTTCTTAGTTCTATTAGCATTCCCTGTAGGAGCCAGTGCTTGCCTGCGGCCTGAGAAAACTGAAGATCAGCCAAGATGCTCAGTATCACTCTTCCCACTCCAGAGAACCTTCCTTCCTGGGAAGAAGCCTAGCTGTGCCACGGGCCAAGGCCATCACTGCACTATCAGACTTGGGTAGTAATCGCAAATGGTTTTGCATGGATTTCTGCTTCATTCAGATTAAGAAAGGATCTGGCCAATGTAGACATCACTGACTCAGGAGTGGGTACAGAAGGAGGGCTCTGGGACACTGAGGTATTTCAACTGCAGAGCTAAACATCTCTCTCTTTAGAGCCTTTGCTTGTTTTCTCTTATTATTGTTGTTTTTATGAGCATAATGGGAAATCAGCAAAGAGGAGTCTTATTTTCATTTATTTGTTCATTTGAAAAATAAATAGTGTTCAAGCAATCAAACACAAAACCATAAAATAATCTAGAATCAGGGTTCAGGGAGCTCAGCAGAAACAGGTGCCACTAGGCATTCTGGTGACTTGATCTATCAGTTGAGGTGTCCTTTTTCTATCATTTAAATCTTCTGAATAACTCTTTTATTCTCCTTGATCTCATAAGAGTTTGAAAATTACATGTTGAAAATTAAAATGAGAGCACATTATAAAAGTACTTGTGAGATAATGTGTTCTTTAGTTTTGTTGCTAAAACCTCTAAAGGTCCATGAGAAATGCCTTACAGAGTCTCATACTAACAGCATATCATTAAATCCTCTGATCCCCTAGCTCTTACCTAGCCATATCTTCAGTGGGATTTGTGATGGGATACATGGGTGGTGTCCTTAGCATGGGGCAATGGGTCTGCTATATCTGTACATTAAAATTACAGATGGTTCTAGAGACTTGGGCCAGAAGCCAGACAAACATTGTGTAGAGTTAGAAAGTTCAAGTCTTTATAGGTTTATTCTCAGTGATGGGGTGTGTGGGTGGATGTCTCTTCCATCTTCCTCACTGTTTAAACATTTCTAGGAAGGATTTGTGGATGGCTTAGGAATCATCCATTCTGTTACATATTCCTGAAAGATTAAGGAGGTCTCCTGGCTGAGGCACATTTTCCTGTGATGTTCACATTGCCTTTCCTGAGGCCATGAATAAAACCTCTAGGAGGTTTTAGAACCAAGCATCTATTCTAAAGTATAAGTCATGATTTCAGTGAGCCAAAAATGATCAGGCATGTGAAACTTCTTGGGATGGCTCCTCAAGTTCAAAGTAAAGTAAAGTAATGGCATATGAGTAGAAGTTTCAAAGAACTAGCCCACATTCTTATACCAAAAGTGTTTTCTGCTAACAAATGTGGCAAGTAATATTGTCATTCTAATGTGGCATGGCACTCTGACCTCAGACAGCCTTACTTCCCCTAATCCTGAAACCAGTTCCGTACCCATCTCCAAAGACCAATGGTGCCTCTAAGATCTGATCCTGGGGCATTGGAACCAAAGAACAAGACCAGATTCTTTCCAAAGCCCAGGCTGGTCTCTCTCCTTTCTCCTCTGTGATACTTCCAAAATGAGGTCATGGTGGGCGTGTATCACTCTGTCTCTGGTTTTGGCCTTCGCACTTTGCAGGGAGAGAGCTCATAGCCTCTCCCTTGGCTTTTGGGAGTATCTCTGGACTGAAGTTGAGCTGTAAGTCATTTATGATCTAAACTCAGCTCTCCTCTTCCTTTTTCCTGTAGATTCGGGTGGATGGACCCAAAGGCAATGCCCTCCAGTATGAGACTGTGCAGGTGGTGGACCCAGGCCCAGTCCTCCGGGACATGGCCTTCTCCAAGGACCATGAGCAACTCTACATCATGTCAGAAAGGCAGGTAAGGTTTGATGGGTTCTGCTCAACATTTGTCTTACAACTAAATACTAGCCTGTGGCTCCATAGAAACCTACAGGAGGCCAGCTGCAAAGAGGTGATTTGATTTATTTGGCTCAGTGTGTTTCCTTTCAGTTACGCTGCCTGGGGACTAAGACTTGGTGTGCTGTAACAGAAGTGAAAGCTTTGAAATAGGAAAAATATTGGTGAGTCTAGGACAAATCTACCAACTTCAAAACCATGATGTGGAGAGGATCAAAACCAAATTTACTGTTTTGAAGAAAAACTCTTAGGTACAGAAACCAAGTTCTTGGTCCAGATTTCCCTACACAAAGGATAACCTCCTACCAAAGTTACCTTCTTGGACCCAAAAGGCTTGTGATAGCAAAGATTTATTTATTTCTACGAGAAACTTAGGTAAGTGAACACCATAGACAAGCCAGACGGATAAAGGTTTAGAAAACAGTCAGTGTGGTGAGCTGCGATGATACATGGTGTGCTTTGAACCCTCTATGTACCTGTAACTTCATGGGACCCCCAGATTAAGTGAAGCTAAGAGAAGATCAGACAGGGCACAGGGATGACTGTTGGCAAAACTGAGTAGTACTTAGCAATGTTGAGCTTGAGTCTGGAGTTTGGCTGAGTGTTCTTGGTGCAGACCCAGAGTCCTATTTATAAGAGGCAAAGGTTTCCCCTGGGGGATTTCCCATAACTAAAAATATTTCCTATAGTCCCCTAACTCACTGTTCAGAGTGTTTGACCTCATAGTATATCCCCATCCTATCCACAAATGTGGACCAGCATGCTGTACCTCTGCCCCATCATCTCTGTGTCCAAGGGGTTATAGAAGCTGTCCTTTCAGCTCATGAATATGGATACCTTAACAATGAGTGGCAGTGGCCCTGGTCATGAGGGACAGCTCTCCCTCTTAGTCATCTTCATTAGTGTGTCTGAACTCTCCAGAGGAACTTGCTGACAGAGTCTAGATTGTTCTGCCTGTCTCCACTATGCACAGTGAGGGAGATGAATTCCACATTATGCCACCCACAGGACTTGGGCATTATGCCCTGATGGCCCACAGCAGCCCTACCCCCCTCTAGGAGCTCGATGACATCTTCTCTCAGTGTGGGTCTCAGGGTCTCCCAGTTTCAACAACACTGGGATCCATTGTGGAATTCTTATGAAGGCCACCATAGCTTGCGAATAGTCTGGTATAGGGCTTAGAGTGAGACATTTTGGCCTGAGATTAGATACAGCTGAGATGAAGCGGGCAGCTGGTGGTGAAGCTGTCCCTCTGTCTACAGTCCTTGCTTAACTCCAAGGCCATGGGCGATACAGAGGTGGGGGACAGCTTTCTTTGACGAAACTGAATCTTTTAGCAAAAGCCCAAGACCTGTAGATGACAATGAACATTTCAACATGCCTTACCTGTCCTGAAAGTCAGAATTTCTGCACCTGGGACCTAATGTAATTAGTCAGCCATTCCTGCTAACAGTAGTGAGTGTGAGCGTCGCTCCTTCCTCAGAGGGGCCCATCTGAAGCCTTGCTTGTTTCTTTGCTCTCAGTTCCTGTTTCCTGCCAGTGTGCGTTTTATCCACTCAGGCTTGGTGAAGAGGCTGGGAACTTGGATTAGGGGATATGGGACAGGAAAGGAAGGCAGGGTTAAGTGGGAACTTGGATTAGGGGATATGGGACAGGAAAGGAAGGCAGGGTTAAGAGACCATTCTGGAGCTGCTCTTCACAGAGGTAGTGGGTGGTCTGCCACCCAAATCACAACTCATGGTCCACTATCATGGATCAACACTGGTGCAGACTTTTTTGTGTAGCACAACAGTTAAGGGCATGGGCCTTGGCATCATACTCTCTGAGTGCATAGTTATTTCTCATTACTCTGACCAAATATCTGACAGAAGCAACTTGAAGGAGAAATTTTTTGACTCATTGTTCAAGGGACACAGTCTATCATGGCAAGGAAGACTGAAATGGGTCAGTTCATGGTGATAGGAGCTTGTACTGGCTTGTTCACATTGGAATGGCAAATAGGAAACAGTGAATTCAGGCTGGAAGTGAGGGCTAGGCTGTAACCCTCAAAGATCTGCCTCCATTTGCCTATGCCCTACATCCACCAGAGTAGCCCCAAGTTCCAAAGGTCTCATAATCTCTCAAGCCAGCACCACCATCTGGGGACCAAGTATTCGAACATATGAGCCCGTGGGAGACATTTCACACTCAATCCATAACACTGAGCATGAATCCTGGACCTACTATTTATTAAATGTGGTGTCAGGTAGGTTCCTAAACTCTTCAAGGATAAGCATCCTCTATTGTAATCATATCAGACAGTGTTCCAAAAATCAATATGGTGGTGCATATATGAAGCTTAGAATTGAGGTTAATTCCTGGATTTTAAGCATAGACTCATCCTTTACCCATTCAGGAGACCCTTGACAGAACATTCAAGTTCTTTGAGTCTTATTTTTATCTTTTGTAAAGTGGGGATCACAGGGATGAGCTACTTTTTTTAGAGAGAGCTTGAATAGAGCAAAAACGATTGTGGTAGCCTTCAGATGGCTATTATTTTTTTCCTCATGTAAGTAAAATCCTAAATGTTCCTGAAGGATGTGAGCTGATGACATGTAGATACAATGGAATTAATTCTGGAGTCAGCAGTCTTTTTCCATAAAAGCTCAATGCGCAGTTGACCACATGGCCTCTTGTAGCTGTTCAACTCTGCTGTCTTGACATTAAGCTGCCATAGGAAACATATAAACAAACAGGTATGTCTATGTGCAGTGCCACTACACTTGTAAGGACAGGTGACAGGCAGTGGTTTTCTAAACCTTGAGTCAGTCCTTCAGTAAAAACATACCGAAGAAAAACTCTGACATCAGTATTGGATTTTTTTGTGTAAAACGGCTCAAAGAAGTTCAAGGAACAAAGTCCTACATCCACTAGCATCCAAAAGGAAGTTGGTTTTCTTCAGGTTATTGCTTCTGAGGACTCTCCTTTTCTTGGATTTCCTGTCACCTTTGTAGTTGCTGCTTATGGGTCCCTTCTTCTGGTCCCTCCTCCTCTTCCCTTTAGCCTCTTATGTTATACCATCCTTTAGTGATGCTATTCGGTTCCATGACCTCAATCCTCATCTTGTGCTCATGTCTCTAACCCCTGTGCTCTCTACTGAGACCCCCTGACTCCCACTCTCACAGCCACTTGCCTCCCTGGCATCCCCACTTGTTCATTCCATAGACCTTCAATTTAACATGCCCAGGCCGAATTCTTCATCTTCTTCCCGAGTACTCCTTAACCTAGCTCAGATCATAGCAACCAGGTCATTCAAGCTAAATACCTCATAGTCATCTTTAACGTCTTTTTTAATCCATTACTCTACATCCAATACGTCAGAAAATCTATTGGTTCTACAAAATATTTCCAGAATATGACAATTTTCCACATCACTGCTACTACCCTGCATCAAACCCAAGTATTTACAATAGTCCCCTGTTTATTCTCTCTGTGTGTACCCTTATCTCTCCAGACTTTTCTCAGTGCACATAAGCTAATTAAAGTTTAAGGTGGATTATGTCTTTCCTTGTATCAAATCCTTCCAATGGCCAAAGTGTCTATAAAGACCTATGTATTCTTTTTGTTTCTTTCTTTGGGGTTTGGGGTTTTGAGACAGGGTATCATGTAGCCCACACTGACTTTCAACTTGCTAGGCCACTGAGGATGACCTTGAACTTCTGAGCCTTCTGCTTCTACTTCTCAAATGCTGGAATTGGAGGCATGTGGCACCGTGCCCAATGAGACTCTTTGTGTTCTATGCCCTGGAAATATCACACCCTAACTCACTTTGCTCTCAACACCCACTCTTCAGAATCAGGACAGGGCAAGGAAGTGTCCTAGGTGACAGTCCTCTGATATGTCAGACATCTCCTGCTTTGGAGTCTTTGCTTCTCTCACCTGGAGTTCTCTCCAGATAGCTATAATCATGACTCTCTTCCAAGCCTTTGTTTCCAGGGGGGTTCCCCTGAGCTCCCCGGGGAAACTCTAATGTGCTCTCCACCAGATCCAGCAGCTACCAACCTTACATGCCTTCATTTTTATCCATAGTACTTAGACTCTTCTGTTATAATTTCTATACCTGTCGTGTTTATTTCTTACTTGTATGTCTTCCACATTAAGACATAAACTCCATGAGAATAGAGATGTTCACATGTTCTATCTTTGTAGTTCATTTATGTATCACAGGAGTGGTGAGATGGTGCAGCCATTTAGGGCTAAGGCTAACAACCAAAACATTTATATATCATAGCCCCCAGAACAGTGTCTGACACCTAAGAACTTGATTCACGTATTGAATGGACCAGAAAATGAACAAACAAAACTGAGCTATGGAGTTCCATGGCCTTGAGCTCCTTGTTTCAATTCTGTTGCTCTGGCTGTTTCCATCACTAGACACTAAAACCCACTGTAAAACACCCCAGGGTCTGCATTTTCCAATCTCATGAGAAGGGCAGACTCACTCCTAAACCCAGGGAAGTGGCAATTTGAATCTTTTTTTACAGCTCATCTCAGAGTGAAGGACAAATACCCTAATAGAAAGCCTATGTCATGGATACTCTCCACTCCAATTTTGGAGTTTTGGGCATTGTAGCATTAAGTTGCCCAAAGGTCCTGATGTTGTGTCTAATGGGAGGCCAAGAAGGAAACAACAGGATGAGCAGTGGGAGGGGGAGAGGAGGGTGGGGGAGCCGCCTGAACAAGGCCTCTGCACACTCCCGCCACCAGTGTTCTCCTAGCACTGCTCTAGGCACAAAACCTAAGTTCCAGACCTGGGACCTCAGCTCCATGCTGTGACTCCTCCCCCCTCTAGAAAGATCTCTTCCTGCCCCTGCCCCTGGCCCCTCTGTACTGACATTCAGCTTCCATTGTGTCGCCAGACCTGTGAAGGTCCTTCCTGATATAGGACCTCTGCCTCCTCCATATCCCCTGGTGGCCTTCTAT